TGTTGTTACAGAACACTGGTATCAGCTGAAGTATAGCTGCCATTTATCAAGCTTTCTGGCCATACCACATTAAGTACAATGATATCACTTAAAAAAGAAACTGAAATGCTCATAGCAACTACAGCAAAACATCTGCACATTTATGATAAATATTGCTTTGAGGTTCACGAGTATTTAAATAACAATTGTAAACAAGACAAGTATTAATAATTTTTTCTTCTTTAATAAAATGTTCAACAAAAAGAACATTTAATGAGCCATCTATATATTTTGTATCCAGCTTCTTGGGAGATATGACAGTCACTGGAATTCCTAGTTCTCCTAGCACTGAACATTTCATTCATCTAGTGATGAATATATCTTCACAAAAGAAAGAAAAAAGAATTCCAAAATTATATACAATCATCAGGTATGTCACCCATTATCTACATGTCATTACATATTTTTAAGTAGAGCACAGGACAAGACCTTCCAAAAATACAATTTCTTCTTAATCACTAAAAATAATTAGAGAGTAATAGCTACCAATATAATATCAGTCTAATGGAATACTTGCACAACCTTAGCTCAGAGAGAAGCACCAAATTTTGAGTATTATCCTATACAGTACTGATTATACATACAAATTAAGGTAGAGAGCACATTAATGGAAGATGTAATGGGGGTTATCCCTATAAAAAAAATTGTGAAAAATTACAAACCTTCAACCTTGGGATTATCCCTATAAAACAGAAAGGAAATGAAAATTACAAACCTTCAACTTAACTTTCAAAGGAAAAGCACATTTTTAAAGCTCAACAATCAAAGTAACAACCATAAATCCAAATAAACACAGGCTTAGTCTCCCTACAGATGATAAATATAAAAAGTATGTCAACAAGGCAACACTGAAAAGCTTACTCTGTAATGTTTGAAATGGAAGCATACAAAGTCTTATTACCTATTTTGTATAAAGGTTGACAGCCACCCCTTTCGTACTTTCAGAAAGGAAAAATGCGAGACGTCTCTCCAAAACATGCCCCTTTACTCTTCATGACTTTAAAAACTTTGCATGTTCTTAACTGAAATATGTACTTTGCATCCCCTCCAGATATACCTGTACACCACATGTATCAGACAACCACAAACGGTCAGACAACCACAAAATAAGATGGCACAATAGAACTTGATCATCCAACAGACTTGAACAGTCCTTTTAATGATAATAACTAAGTAAAAAAGATATACTGCTCAGACACATTATACAGAACATACAATATTGAGAGTGAAAAACACTGTCACTAAAATGTATTTGATGTACATGAGGAAAATATTTCTCAAATAAGTCAGACAATTCAGCTTATCTATTAACATTATTACATCATTTGAGAAATCAATAACATGAAGTACTACACACCATTTATTAAATTATTTATTGTTTACCATTCATGCAGTCGAACCTCCCTAACTACATCCTCAAAATGCAAAACATCAGTTCTTTAATGCAAAGCTTTCAAAAATGTGTCATTGATAATGTAAGGAACTTTTTCAAAGAATAAAGCTAAGGAAAAGTGAGCATAAATTACCAGCAAGGAACAACAGACATTATCATAGAAGACAAATGTATGTATATAATTTCTTCTCAAAAACAATTGGCACAGTCAAATATATATCAAATGTTTTTGTACATTCATGAAGAGCATATTGGATTTAAAAAGAAAGGTGCCAGTAAATCATCTAGCTTGAAATTACTTGGATATATGAAAAGTATTTACATCAGTTTTACTGATAAGAAACAATTTTATTTATTTTCTATAGAAAAAAATAATTTGCTTTCTGGTCTAACAAATAAAAATGCAAAGCCAAGTGCAGTATTACCTTAGAGGTTCGACTGAAGAGCATTTTGTGCATGTTGAGGAACAAACTAGGAACAGCTTTTTGTGACATGAGTGACATGTAACCCTGTAGCCCTTTTAAAGTATGCTTAAGAAGAACTTAGGTGAAAAGGCCTTGCTTTCCATCATATATAGCTGCTACCATCATAATTTATAAAGAAAGAAAAGTGAAAGTAAACAATCTACCAGATCTGTAACCTCACAAATATTTTGACAGCTAAAATCCAATAAATTGGTTTTGAGAAAATATATATTTTTTCCAGATCAAATTGCAATGCACAGAAAATATATCTTTCAATACAATGACAAAATATCTTGATGGATATTTCCAACTGAAAATTACAACTCTAAATGTATTTTATCTCAATACAGATCATGCAGCATCAACTGCACAATAACTTTGAAGTTGTCATTACTAAATATTATTCTTTACTTATATACTATGATCGTTTACATGAGTCATGTAACATTAAAGTAGAAAATTATACTTGCCTAACATACAAGTACTTACAGATGTAGTTTAGTATACATACGTTTGAGATCAAGTTCTGTGTCACTTTATATTATGTGGTAAACCAGGGAAGCCTCATTGGAGACTCAAATTGAGAATATCTCTTCACGGAGTTATTACCAACTTAAAATTTTAAAAGTAATAATAAAATGGTGAAAAACTGTTTCTTTTCACATTTTGAACAAATAGGTGATTGGTTTAAATTCCAAAGAATAGTTTATATTTACAGTTTCAGTTAACATCATGTACTATATACATCTGCAAAACACCTCTTTTTCACATACCAAAGTTCAAGATATCTGGACCTCACTACCACGCCAATCTAGAGACTGGTGTAATTTTCACTCCACTTTCACCTTGGAAAGCCTCCTTTAACATCCTCCATTTGTAATTGGGTCTCTTGCTGAAAGTGATATAATTCACCCCCATTAAATGCATTAAATGAAGGTCACATAAACCTTGGCCTGAAGTGATGCATGGGACTTCTCATCATAGCAGCAGCTGCGGCTCCAGGTGGCATCCCTCGCCCCATCATCATCATCATGCGTGGATCTACTCCACCATACATCTGCTGTAAAGAAATATTTGATCAGCGATGTTAGTATTAACAATTTCCACATTAAGCAGACAAAATATTGTACTGAAATCATTACTTTCTTGACATCAGAATCATCAATAATTTATTGTTTCCTTGATACTGACAGATGGTACAAATACCTAAAAGCATGTATCACATGATCATACAGTAGGTAACCATTGTCAGTACCATTTAAACCATTGTTGCCAGAAGCATGTAAACTCACTGCAGTTTTATTTTGGGAAAATGTGTTTACACATAGATGGCTCCACAAGTGCCCCGGATTTTTGAATTCCTTGAATTTTCAGATATATATATATTTTTCAATGCTATCAATATTGATGTTATTAATATTAACATTTACATTATAATCATCACAACATTATCAACAATACTAATAACAATACAGAATAAAACAAAATCTATAGTTGAATGAAAAAGATAAATAGGTGAGAGAGATAGTACTAAGCACTTGTGTAGCCATCAATGTGGAAAGACATTCAATAAACTAAACTCAGAGTAGACATGGCATGTACAAGTAATATGCCATCCTTGGTAAACATGGTTTAAAATTCTGAAATAAGCATAAAATGCATTGATCACAAATGTAATCATTATCTGATAAATTCACATATCAATTTTCAACTTATTACAAATAGAAAGTATCAGTAAAAATATTTTATACACTGAAAGATGTAAAATAATCCTATCTACAATCTCTTTTATTACCTTATAACTGTCACTTTCACATATAAAAAGAAAAAAATATCCATCTAATTTACAACAAAAAATTGAAATTTTACAAATCAATACAAGTATGTACAACTTAAATAATATACAGACTGACAAAATGACCTAAAAGCTACCTGTTGCTGCAAAATGTTTGGAGGCATATATCTTGGCATCTTCATCCCAGCATGAACTCCACTATGACCACTCTGTGCTCCAGCACTCCCAGCAGCCATGGCAGCCATAGCAGCCATAGCTGGGCCCCCAAGATTGGCCATTCCTGCTCGACTGCCAGGACTTAGAGCAGCCATATTTGGACTACCTGTTGGAACTCCTGCATTGGCATTCATTGCACCTGGAACACCACCAGCTGGTGATCCACGGTTCATCAGAGCCATATCACCATATAAAGGTGATGGATTCTGAAAAAGAAAGATATCAGGTTAACTCACACATACACACACAAAAAAAATAACTTTAATAAAATCTACATCAGGAACCTGAAATCAATAACAAACTTCATCTGAAAAATCAATCTTTATAGGTAATACCAAAATGGAATCAAAGTGGAATATTAATTTTTTTAATGCATATTTTGAAACAAGAGCACCTGACAAACAAATTATACATTTTTGTCAGCTCACTTTTATAAGGTCTTCAAGAAGTTTGGTGATAAATAGTTGTTTCTTTGGAACAAATAATATCAATAAAATTTATCCAGTTACTGGAAAAGACCTGTCCACAGAGGCGGGAATATGGGTGGACACAAATAGAGATGACGTCGCGGGTGGACATACTACTCCGTAAACAAGTAGTTTCCTCATTGTTTTCTCACCTGTGACATCACCTTTACAGTTCCTTGATGTGCCCATCGATCATGCCCGCCTGTATGGACAGGCCTTAAGATGAAACTGGCCAACTATCTTTGACATAGTAGCTCTGCAAAAGTGGGCAATGCTACTTTCATATTTACATTTTGAGAAAAACTATAAAATGACTAGTTAACGAAAATGTTTTTAATATTTTGCATTCAATCCAAGAATGAAGAAGGAAAGAAGAAATACATCACTAGTCAGTATTTCAAAGGGAAGCTAATGAGGATTTGTATACTAGTACCATCGTAAGAGCCATTCCCCAAACACCCCCTTCCACCACAGACATGTGCACATCACAAGATTTTAAACTTTCCCAGTGTGGCACATTGGGTTGCAGCGAGGCTTCATGCTATCTCCAATACATTTACACTTATTAGCCATCAGCTGGGTAACTGCACTACACAACTGCAACTCCTTATTACTGTAACTTTAAAATGTTATGCAAAGGCTTTAAACTTTGTAGAAATATGCATATTAGTCATCATAGTTTTTTTTCACACCAATACTCTTTTTTCAAATCTTGTGCATTTTTTTGTTTTCAATATCTGCAACTAATAATTCAATAATCATTCAACTATCAAAAGAGTAACTGATAACAGGAATATCATGCAAAAAAACAGTAATAAATAAATAAATAGATAAAAAAAACAAAACAATAATGGTAACTGGTTGTATGAAAAAGCTAAGACTATGACTTACCCGCTAAAAATCCTAACGAGTCTTCAAAATTATCATCTTTTAATGCCATTAACAAAACTGAATTGACTTAAATCTGAAATATCTGTAAATGTTATGTGTGACTTTTAGCTTCCTATCACACAGGATGAAGAAAGTAAAAGCAGTGAAATTGTCTAAAACTTCATTTGACATTCATGGAAAAAATATAAATTTTGGGCACCAAACAGTTTGTAAAACTAATCCTAAACCTGATAAAATAACCAATTAAGTACCTTTTATATCTCAATTTCCAAGGTATACAAACATTCTGTAAAATCTAGCTGCTTTATTGAATAACCAGTCATTTTGAAGATATGACACTTCTGTCCTAAGGAGCATTTTGACTTGCTACAGAAGTGCCCTGAATATGCATATGTATAAAATTTTTAGATATGGGTATAATAACACCGAAAAAGAAAGCCATACATTTACTATCAAATATTGCCTTCTTGTAAAACAACTTAAATTGACCATGTCTACTATATAATCTACATTGGTAAATGTTTACAAATATACAAAATTTTATGCAGCAACTTCTCCATCTGTACATTTTTGCATAACGTATTTCTTTACAGAAGTAACAGGAGATAAAATCCTTAAGAATATGAATTTTTAAAATTCAGTTAGCTGCAGTTTACACAGTGCTGTTATTAAGTAAAGACTTCTGCAAAAGCATCTGCTGTCTGTAAAACCACTTCTTCTGACATCCATTATTCCACACAATTTTAAAAGCTGCAAAGTACAATAAGTATCAACTACGTTCTTATGATAAACTCTTTTAAGTACAAGTTACGTTAACTTTTGCCAGTATTGTTACCACGTCAGAGAATGCAAATATATATAATTTCAAAACACAATACACATCAAATTAATAATTTGCAATATTCATCCTTCTTTTATAGGGCTAAGACATTGGTGTACCTTAGTATCAGGTGATTCATACTAAATGGACAATTAAAAAAGAATTCTGGAGAAAAAAAATATATGAAAATAACAACACTACAACTTCATATAGGGTATGGCAATTACATATGTACATTTGTCACTAGTACTGGATATATACATGGGAGTCATTATTTCACTTCTAAAAAAAAAGTTGCATAAAGAGGTTTTACATGCAAGAAAATATATTCCAACAGAATTCTTTTAAACGCTGTGTAATACTATAATCGTAATCTCACTTTGGCTGATGGATACCTCATATCAATTCAAATATTTCTCCATTTCTTCACCTGCCAAGAATATCCTTCTTATTAAAAAACTGATGACTATCATCCCTCATGGAACAAGTTCAATGCAAAAAAGTCTTGATAGGTATAGATGCATAACTTTGATATATAAAAAGGAATGTATTTTGGACTACTACATTGTATATTTCTAATGAAACATTAATTGCATAGCAAAATATGCAGGGGATAAAAATAAGGTTGTTTCAGATTAAAAAAAAAAAAAAAAAAAAAAAAAAAAAAAAAAACATATATAATAATAATATACATTTTTAACTTTAAAAGGATAAATATGTTAAACATTTCACATACATAAAAAAAGATCAATACATTTATTGGGTTATTCTTCAACCAAAAAAATATTCCTTCAACATATCAACAAATTCAACAAGCTCGGGTATGTGGTATGTGAATGCCTTTAGTAAATCCCATATGCCTTGTCCTACAGGAAAATCATTCTTTGTGCCATGACATAATTTGAACTAGGGGAGTATTAACTGGCCATCACCCTCTATCTCCTTTTAGTATCAGCATAATATCTTGAAAACTCAATGTTCAGCCAACAAACACAGCAGATAGCTTGCCCCGTCTCTATCAATAGTTTGCAATCCCTTTGGGTGAGGACTTCTAAAGATAATGTCACCAAAGCTGTCTTTTTTTCTCAATTTTTTCAGAGGGCATAACTAATATTTCTTTCATTTGTTCCATAATAAAAGTAAAGATCTATTATCAATTCACATTCAATTACCCATTAAATATCAGTTATCAGCTTCCAGGATTATTATATTACTAATAAGCCCTACAAAAAAGCAGTAAATAACTACTTTAATATGCCACAAAATATCACATGCATAGGCATAAAAATGTGAAATTAAAACAAATACTTTAAAGGGATATTTGCTTTGCTCACTGAACAAGTAATGTCTTCCAATATACCTTTGCATATCTAGCTCTACTTTCCACTTTCATACCTCAAAGTTGCTCCTAATTTGGTATTTCTAAATCCCACAGCTTTCTGACTTAGGGTGTGTGTCATACTATGGCAAATATGGCAATGTTTCTAAGACTTATAAAAAAGACTAATGCTACATATAGAATATCACAATAACACTACCATCATTAACAAGATAGCCCATATTCAAGAACAACCTATAAAAAAATCTTATTCATGCTTGTAAAAAATAACAATTAAATAAAAAAAACTATATTTTCTTATATTTTGTATACTTTACACCACTTGAAATCTGCTGCTGCAGATCATGCAATAGCTTAAAAGATGAATTTAAATTTTTTTTTTCCTCTCTTGACTTTCCTTCCCTTTTACCCTTTGAGAGTGACAGAAAAATATGTGTGTATATGTGTGTATATGTGTGTGTGTGTGTGTGTGTTTGCAAGGTTGTGTGTGAGTATGTGTGCGGTTGTGTGTGGGAATGTGTGCGGTTGTGTGTGGGAATGTGTGTGGTTGTGTAATGTGTGCGGTTGTGTGTGGGAATGTGTGCGGTTGTGTGTAATGAATGTGTGCGGTTGTGTGTGGGAATGTGTGCGGTTGTGTGTGGGAATGTGGAATGTCTGTTGTGTGTGGGAATGTGTGCGGTTGTGTGTGGGAATGTGTGTGTGTGTGTGTGTGTGTGTGTGTGTGTGTGTGTGTGTGTGTGTGTGTGTGTGTGTGTGTGTGTGTGTGTGTGTGTGTGTGTGTGTGTGTGTGAGTTTGCAAGGTTGTGTGTAGTATGTGTGCGGTTGTGTGTGTGTGCGGTTGTGTGCGGTTGTGTGTGTGTGGTTGTGTGTGGGAATGTGTGCGGTTGTGTGTGGGAATGTGTGCGGTTGTGTGTGGGAATGTGTGCGGTTGTGTGTGGGAATGTCTGCAGTTGTGTGTGGGAATGTGTGTGTGTGTGTGTGTGTGTGTGTGTGTGTGTGTGTGTGTGTGTGTGTGTGTGTGTGTGTGTGTGTGTGTGTGTGTGTGTATGTGTGTGTGTGTGTGTGTGTGTGTGTGTGTGTGTGTGTGTGTGTGTGTGTGTGTGTGTGTGTGTGTGTGTGTGTGTGTGTGTGTGTGTGTGAGTTTGCAAGGTTGTGTGTGAGTATGTGTGCGGTTGTGTGGGAATGTGTGCGGTTGTGTGTGGGAATGTGTGCGGTTGTGTGTGGGAATGTGTGGGTTGTGTGTGGGAATGTGTGGGAGTGTGTGCAGTGTGTGTGGAGTTTGTGCAGTTGTGTGTGGGAGTGTGTGCAGTTGTGTGTGGGAGAGTGTGCAGTTGTGTGTGGGAGAGTGTGCAGTTGTGTGTGGAGTGTGTGCAGTTTGTGTGTGGGAGTGTGTGGTTGTGTTGGGAGTGTGTGCAGTTGTGTGTGGGAGTGTGTGTGGTTGGTTTGGGTGTGTGTGGTTGTGTTTGGGAATGTGTGTGTGCATGTGTGTGCATGTATAAGTGTGCGTGTGTGGGTGTGTGCGTGTGTGCGCATGTGTGTGTATGCTTGCTTGAAATTTGAAGGCTATTAACTAATGTTTTTATATAAGACCTGGGGCTCTGGGGGGTTACAAAAGTGAATGTTCATTGGTCCACAACAATTATCACCATTTTTCTACAGCCTTGAAATAGGAACTAACTTGATTTCCCCCTTTCCAGTGAAGCTTAGAAACAAAGGACTGACTCACAAGACAATATCTAACTATTGTGATGTGTCCCCAGTTGATATACAATGAATACAAACACAATTGTGTGTGTGTGTGTGTGTGTGTGTGTGTGTGTGTGTGTGTGTGTGTGTGTGTGTGTGTGTGTGTGTGTGTGTGTGTGTGTGTGTGTGTGTGTGTTGCGTGCGTGCGTGCGTGCGTGTGTGTGTGCGTGCGTGTGTGTGCGCGCGTGTGTGTGACACGCGTGCACGCTTGAATGCCTATCAAAAAATGAACTTTTACACTGAAAAGAAATGCAAGTGTATTAATCTCTAAATTCCAAACATGTTTAAAGTAGACTAGTTAAAAAGCAAGCAGATTAAAAGATACTAATATCAGAAACTAAAACAAATGCACAATTCTTGACAACTAACAGAAGTGTTGAGTATAAAGCTACACAGTAACTAAATAACACAGATAATGGTAGTAACAGATGCAGCAGTCAACAAGGAAAATATACAATAAATCCAATTAAGCTATCCTTATAACTATGAGATAAGAAACTACATTTGTAAAGTAATTAACTTTTTTGAACATTTCAACATTTGCATTAAAAAATCTAGATGCTGTAGTTTGTGTAAACCAGCAATCCACCCCTGTAAATAAGGCCATTTAATCTCCTTTGTCCTAAATTTTCCATATTCCTTATGATATGCATGCAATTTGTTAGTTGAAATCTAAAACCACTCATACAAGAATGAAAGCTGGTAATATGAATGAAAAGTGGATGACCATGAATTATCACTTAATTAAGGTCTCCATGTTTATCATGCATCCATTAAAGTTTCCTCATCACTCTCATCTGGCAACTCCAATTTCTCTTCTTTAGGATCTTGAAGATGATCTTGACCTTCTAAATCTAAATTAGTGTCTTGTTCTAGATCTTTATCAGGGCCTGTTTTTTCTAGGCCTTCTATTCCTTCACATTCTGTGCTCTGTGATTCCAAGTACTGCTGTACGCTACTATAACCCATTTTCCCTAACCTTTGGACTATTTGCCCCACAGCTTGTTGGCCAAAAGCCTTTCTGCACAGTGAACAGTTGCATATTCCTCTACATACAGGACAAGCCCAATCAGGATCAAGTAATGCTTTCCTTGCATCTTCACCGTACCTTGTGCGCAAACAAGGACCACAGAAAAAGCCCCTTAATCCAACACATTTACCAGATCTGCATATAGTCTTTGTATCTGCTGTCTTCTGCCTACATTGATGGCATGAAGTTCCATTTTCCTGATCATGCATCTTTTCCTTTGGTTTTGTAGCAACACGTTCAAGCATCTCCTCTGTCACCTCCTCTGGTTTCAAGATGTGTTCAATCTTTCTGCGGACACAAGGAGTACTTTTGCGCTTTTTCCTGGAGCCTTCTGGTAACTTTCCACCAGATTTACGAGATTTGCTCTTGATTGCCTTGGCTGCTACATTCAGATTCTCCTTAATACCTTCAGCTCCACTCTGCTCCAAGAACCAGTCCATCCAAGCCTTGGGTGACTTGGGAGACTTAGGAGTTTTAGGGGAGGGATTTGCTGTGGAGTCTTTCTCTTTGGAAGAACTTGAAGATTTAGTAGACGATCTGGCTTTTTTCCGTGGTCGATCTCTGTTTCCTTTGATGAGGCACTGGGCTAATATGGACGAAGTAAGACTCCCCACATCATCCTGAAAAATCGACAAGATGGATTTACTCACAATGGTCCAGTCAAGGTCCCTTAAATTCTTAAATCCAATAAGTACCCCCCACTGAAGCATGGACATGGACAAAGCAGGTAAGCAACTAGAGTGTCCTCGCAATATCTGAGGTGTTTCAAGCCGGTGTAAAATTCAAAGAAGCCCAAAGTGTGTTGGTAAATCCATCTTGCCTTTCTACAATACATTTGCCACATAGGAAATACAGCACAAGTAAATGATATTTATGATGTTTTTTGGAGATAACTCTTATAAGCTCATTTTCTTCAGATAAAATGCAAAAGTGAACCATGATTCTGAAATGAATTTCTCAATTTCACAAACTGTTTAAAAAATGAGCATTATCAAGGTATCACCATATATCTACAACCAACAACATATTGTAAACTCTGTCAGCACACAACAAAAAATAGTTTTGTCTATAATACACCAAATGTAAGCAGAAAATAAAAACAATAACAAGAGTAAAAAAAAAAGAACATTACCTAACACAGAAAACAAAAGCTGGGTAACATTTACTAAAATCTGTATCAACACTAGTCACAGACAACAGGAATTAAGAGCTTCTAAATATATTAAAATACTGTACATACATAAATGTGCATATATACATATATACATACACATGCACATGTGTAATTAATTATATTTAAGTATGCTTTTGTGTGTGTTTGGGTGTGCGTGAGCGTGTGTGCATGAGTGAGTGTCTGCATGTGCTTGTGCATGCTTGTGTGCATGTTATGTGAGTGAATTGTAAATATGTATGTGCATGTGTGAATGTGCCTGCAAGATATATGAGGGTATGTATGTGCATATGTATATGTCTATGTATTTGCATTGGATGTTCTGAAATAATCTTCAGCACAAAATAATTATCTTTTTCAGACTGAAATCAAATGACTATGAAAATAATTGGTGAAACAATAATTATCATGGGTTCTAATCATATGATCTTCAATGTACTTGAATGAACACTTACAAAAAACACATGATAGAGAAAATAAGTACATCTGAATTTTATCAGCAAATGCATGCTCAAGTTTCTTAAAAAAAAAAACAGAAGTTAAATAAAAGTGAGAAAAAAAGATAAAACATTAGTTATCTACTTGGCTATCTATGATAATGGGGCCTGATTTTTTTTTTAAATATTACACAACAGTCTAGACTTTGTAGCTAGACCTAAGCTGTGTACAACCGGCCCACCCATTGTGAGTCATGATGTGTATATACATCCTAGCCCATTATGTCATGAGAACAATAGACTAATACCATGAGAATATGTAATGTTCACTGCAGTTTTGTGTTCTGAATTGTTTCTATACATAGATTCAATAAGAGCTCAACCATCAAGGAGACAATTAGAAGGACTACCTGGCCTCACCTGATTTCCTGTCTTTGAGTTTAAGAAACAATATCTTTTCTACCATTAACTCCTACAATCTAGATGACATGACCATCACATCATAAAAAAATTGGCTTGAGGAGTGTGTGATGTGAACATGCCATCATGGGAAAATTTGGCTGAGGGCTGGGGTAATGCAATTTTGCCATCCTGAGAATTTTGGCTAAAGGCCAGGGTGACAGGGGAGGCATGGAGTATTGTCACTGCATGTAAGTGCTAATGCGCGCCCATCAGGGTGGCTGTTCAAATAA